TAACAAAATAAGGCTCAACTATATGCTTCATATTGGAAACACACTTAAGATGGGTGTGGTGGTGCATGCCTGTAATCCCAGTGCTTGGGAGGCTGAGGCAGGAACACTGCAAGTCTGAGAAAAGCCTGGCCTACATAGCAAGACCCTCTTTCAGACAAATATATAAGGGAGCACAATTAAAAGTAAGATAAATGAAAAAGATACAGCACGCTAACACTAATTTCAGAATGGCTAAGGTAATGTCAGATAAATCAGATTTCAGAGCAAAGAAAATTTCTGGGGATAAAGAAGGCAATTTCATAATGATAAACATGTCAATTCATCAAGTGGACATAGCAATTCTAATGGGATTGCACCCAACAAACACACTGAGCAAAATCTGCTAGAACTGAAAGAATAAGAAACATGTCCACAATCACAGTTGGAGACTCTGTTGCCCTCTCAACAACTGATAAAACAATGAGATGGAAAATCATAAAGACACCACAGATGTGGACAGCGCTGTCACCAAACTAATGATAATTACCAAACAGCCTCCCAACAATGGCACAATACAGTTTTCAAGTGCACAATGGAATATTTACCAAGATAAATCATATTTGGGGCTTAAAAGAGTCAAGTCACATTGAGTATTTTCTATGACCACAAGTGAATTAGGGCAGAAATTAATAATGTAATGATATCTGGAAATCCCCAAGTGTTTGGAACATACTTTTGAACAACCCACATTCAAGGAAGAAACTGAGAAGAAATTAGAAAGTAGATTGGATGTGGAGAAAATGATAGGTGAAAACCCAAGGGATGTGCCAGAAGTCTTTTTAGAGAAACATGAAGGACACCAAGAATCCATATGAGGCCAGGGAAGCCTTAGCTTCTATCTGCAGAGGCTGGGAAAAAAGAGAGTAAGTTAAAACTAAGCAAATAGAATAAAGAAATAGAAAAAATCAGAGCAGAAATAAACCAACCAAAAGGAAAAAAACTCAATGTAGCCAAAAACTAGTTGGCTGACATAAAAAATTAAAACTCTAGCCAAACTAATCATAGAAAAGAAAAAAGAGACATGAATTATCAGCACCAAGAATGAGATAAGATACATTACTACAAACTCTATTAATGTTTAGAAGATAATGTAATATGAACAACTTCATGTCAATAAATCTAACATCTAGGTGAAATGAACAAATTCTTTCATGTACACATAATACCAATACTTACCTAAGAAGTAGATAATCTGAATATACTGTAGCTATTAAGTGAATTTAAAATCTAGTTAACAGCCTTCTAATGAAAACAGCTTTCCTAATAAAAATCCACCAAACAGAAGAAATAAGACCAATTTTACAGTCTCCTTCAGAAGGATAGAGAACACCTCCCAATTCATGCATCACTCCAGCCTAACACACTATCAGAAAGCCCTATACAACACTCCTCATGTACTTAGATGCAATATTTCTTAGCAAAATTTTAGCAAATCATGCCTACACAAATCAAAGCCTACACAAAAAGAACACTTCACCATTACCAACTTGGTTTTTATCCAGGAATGCAGGTTTAACATTTGAAAATCAATCAACAATACAATTCATCACAGGAAGAGTCTACAGAATCAAAATCTACATGATCCTATCAAAAGATGAATAAGGGCTGGGGATTTAGCTCAGTGGTTCCACCACCTCCCTCACAAGCACAAGGTCCTGAGTTCAATCCCCAGTACTAAAAAAAAAAAAAAGAGAGATGAATAAAAAAAGCATTTGTGAAAATTTAATATCCATTTGTCAGATGGAGGGACCTCCCCTTGCTGGCAGTACAGAGTGATGAGCGAGACCTGACCCTTACTCAGTCCCCATGCCCAGCATCAACTGTCCTGGAACCTCCCCAGCAGACCTCAGAGAGCCATCAGGGAAAAGAGATATGGTCCCAGCTACAGATATTTAAAATGAAACAAAGATGCCCCCCTTTCTCCAGGTCCTCCCACCAAACTCTGCTCTGAGCGCACTGTTATTCTCAGCACAGGGCACCCAGAAACTGACCAAGTCATCTCACACCAGAAGAAGGGTGGCCTGCATCTGCAGCACACACCTGACATTGTGTTTTGACCAGGTTGCCTCTCCTGCAGTTTCTGGATTAAATATGCAGAGGGAGAATGTACCACCGCTCCCAGCACAGAGGAGGAGGCTTCTGGGCCGACGTGCCACCACTCTGAGCACAGAGGAGGTGAGCCACGCAGGTGCCAGCACATACACACACCCCTGCCCCCCCCAAAATAAGAAGACATGTAAACAAGCCTCAAAACCACACTTCAAGATCACCTACAAAAATCCCAAAGGGAAACGAGATGGAACATCTGATACTCAACCACCTGGACTCCCTGAACAGGCAACAAAAGAGGATCTGGAAAAAATGAAATCAGAAATAATTTCTCAGATAACAGCAGAGATTGTGCCCATAGTAAAGACATGATTAATGAATCTAGAGAGGAGCTGAGGAACATGATGGAACCCCAACATAGGAAACAAATGGAATCCATAAAACAGATGCAAACAGATTTTCAGGAGATTAAAAACTCCATTGAAAGTCTATGCAGCAGAATGAGCCAATGTGAGGACAGCATATCAGATATAGAAGATAAGATTGCAATTAGTGACCAGGAAAAGAAAAATTGCTTTAAAATTGTAAGGCACCATGAGAAATCAATCCAACTGCTGCTAGACAATGCAAAGAAGAATAACATAAGACTGATCAGACTCAGTGAAGAAACAGGAGAGAGTGGAGATGACATAAAAAACTGTTCACAGAAGTAATGGTAGAAAACTTCCCAAGCAGGGGAAAAGAACTTGACATACAGATAAGTGAGGTATATAGGACTCCAACTAGCCTTGTTAAAAAAAAATCTACACATAGTCATATAATTGTTAAGATTCCAGAAAGCCAACAGAAGAACAAAGTTCTACAAGCAGTGAGAGAAAAGAAACAAATCATATACAAAGAAAAGCCCATCAAAATCACAGCAGACTTCTCAAGGTAAAACCTCAAGGCAAGAAGAGCTTGGAGCAACATATTCCAAGCTCTAAAGGAAAACAGCCTCCAACCCAGATTGATGTACCTTGCAAAATTATCTTTCAAAATTGATGGGAGAAATAAGATACTTTCATGACAAAGGGCACCTTAGGAACTTCATAAATACCAAACCAGCACTCCAAAAAAATTTTACACAATATCCTAGGAAAAGACAATGAGGATCACAACCCCAGGAAACCCAGCAGAATGAATCCATCGGGCACGACAAGAAATTAAATGAAAGGGGGAGAATTCAACAAAAAGAAAAGGTCATGACAAAGATCAGTCAATACGTATAGTTATAACCATCAATGTTAATGGTCTCAATTCACCAATCAAAAGAAATAGACTGGCAAAATGGGCCAAGAAGCAAGATTTAACACTATGCTGCATACAAGAAACACATTTAATTCAAAAAGAAACTCATAGACTGAAACTGAAAGGGTGGAAAACAATACTCCATGGGACAGGAATGCGAAAAAAACCAGAAGTAGCTATCCTCTTTGCAGATCAAGTGGATTTCAAACTACTACTGATTAAGAGAGACAAAGAAGGACACTACATCCTTGTAAAGGGAACAATCTAAGAGGAAGAGAAGACAATCTTAAACATATATGCAGCAAACACTAGTGTGCCCAACTATATAACCAAATACTAGCAGACATGAAAAATCATACAAGCACTAATACAATAGTAGTGGGTGACCTCAATAGCCCACTGTCACAAATAGATAAATCAACTAGAAAAAAAACAAGCAACAAAATACTAGAACTCAATCTCTTGAACAAATGAACTTAACAGATGTTTACAGAGTGTTGCACCCCACAAAATCAGAATACACATTCTTTTCAGCTGCACATGGGTCATTCTCCAAAACAGACCACATACTCGCTCACAGAACATATTGAAGTAAGTGCAAAGGAATTGAAGTTATCCCCTGTATATTATCAGACCATGGTGTGATGAAATTGGAGATCAATAGCAAAAGAAACCACAAGAATTTCATAAACACGTAGAAATTGAACAATGCACTTCTGAATAAACAATGGGTCACAGAGGAAATTAAAGAAGGAATCAGACAGTTCCTTCAATTAAATGGCAATGGCAATACAACATATTGGAATCTATGGGACACAATGAAAGTAGTCTTATGAGGGAAATTCACAGCAGTGAATACTCATATTAGGAAAACAGAGCGAGCCCAATTAAACAACCTGATGCTGAACCTCAAGCTTCTAGAAAAACAAGAGCAGGACAAACCCAAAGGTCATACAAGGGAGGAAATTATAAAGATCAGAGCAGAAATCAATGCAGTGGAGACTAAGAGAACGATATAAAAAAATCAATGAAGCCAAGAGTTGGTTCTTCAAAAGAATAAACAAAATTGACAAACCCTTAGGCAACCTTATCAGAAAAAGGAAAGAAAAGGCCCAAATGCATGCAATTAGGAATGAAAAGGATGAAATTACAATGGACCCAGCGGAAATCCAGAGGATCATCAATACCTACTTTGAGAACCTATATGCCAAGAAGATGGAAAACACAGAAGAAATGGACAGATTCCTAGACACGGATGAATTACCAAAGTTGAATGAAGATGACCTAAAAATTCTAAACAACCCAATATCAATCAATGAAATTGAAAGCATAATTGAAAACTTACCAACAAAGAAAAGCCTGGGTCCTGATGGCTTCACTGCTCAATTCTATGAGACATTTAGAGAGGAGCTACCGCCACTATTGTTTAAACTCTTCGATGAAACTGAAAGGGAAGCAATAGTCCCACATTCATTCCTGGAAGCAAGCATCACCTTGATCCCCAAAGCAGAGAAAGACCCAATCAAAAAAGAGAACTACAGGCAAATCTCACTAATGAACATAAATGCAAAAATCCTTAAGAAGATACTGGCATAGATTCACCTTCTGCACACCTTCGCCTTCTTATCTTCTGTACTAGTTTCCTGCCCCAAAGAGGAGGAGGAAAAGGAGATGCCAGTCGAATTCTCCCTTGTCAAGATGTCTATTGGTGTGCCAATTAAAGTACTCCATGAGGCTGAGGGCCACATTGTGACATGTGAGACAAACACTGGTGAAGTATATCGGGGGAAGCTCATTGAAGCAGAGAACAACATGAATTGCCAGGTGAGAAAACTGAAGGCTGGGAAAGTCAAGTGCCTTATCCAAGATGTCCAACATCACAGTCACATACAGAGATGGCCGAGTGGCACAGCTGGAGCAGGTATACATCTGTGGCAGCAAGATCCACTTTCTGATACTGCCTGACATGCTGAAAAATGCACCCATGTTAAAGAGCATGAAAAATAAAAACCAAGGCTCAGGGGCTGGCCGGGGAAAAGCTGCTATTCTAAAGGCCCAAGTGGCTGCAAGAGGAAGAGGACGTGGAATGGGACATGGAAACATCTTCCAGAAGCGAGGATAACTTACTTTGTTGAACAGGACTGTCCCTACATTTTTTATTTAGGTTATCTTAAGTTCAGAGGGGTGGGCACTTGTGTGTATGTCTTAGGTTTTCTTTCACATCTATCTCTTTATTTTTAATTTTTTTTCTCTCTTTTTCTGGTACCGGGGATCAAACACAGGACCTGTGCTTGGCAGGCAGCTGCAGTGCCATTGAGCTACATCCCCAGTCCGGTATCTTTCTCTTTAGATCAGTAGAAATGTTAAACTAAATAAATCTGGTTGTTTTGTTTTTGAGAGAAAAAAAAAAAGATACTGGCATATAGAATGCAGAAGATCATCAAGAAGATCATACACCGTGACCAAGTGGGATTCATCCCAGGGATCCAGAGATGGTTCAAGATATGCAAATCAATCAATGTAATACACTATATCAATAGAGCCAAGGACACAAACCATATGATCATCTCAATAGATGCAGAAAAAGCATTTGACAAAATCCAACATGCATTTATGATGAAAACGCTACCAAAAATTGGAATAGACGGTCTCTACCTCAATCTGATAAAAGCCATCTATGAAAAACCAACTGCCAATAACATACTAAATGGTCCAAAACTGAAATCTTTCACACTAAAATCAGGAACAAGACAAGGATGTCCACTATCACCACTCTTGTTCAATATAGTTTTGGAAACATTAGCCACAGCAATTAGACAAGAGA